TCGTGTTTACTACAGTGTCACTCAGTTGGCCTCACCTGACCTGTGTACTCTGCTTTAGAGAAACAGCTTCGTAGGTAATCAGTAAGTAACAAATAATAGGTACTTATGGAAAACTAAATAATTTATGGGGTGGAGCACAAGGGGAGAGGAGTCCTTGTTATCTATGCCTCCATCCTGGGGTCACCTTAAATTTGGAATATGCTTTTCCAGACCAGGCTGTACATACTTACAGACATGGGAGGACTCATGGCACAGATGTTAGGCGAAGAATTAGTGTCTTCCTATACACACCACGTACCTTTCTGTTGTATTCTGGAGATCTTTCCATCTTGGTTCATGTGATGAAATCATTCTTACGTTAAGGACTTCGTGGTGTTTCACCATGTAACTGTTCCCTCATTACTGAGCAGTCCGGTTGTTGCTTTGGGCTGGCAAGCTCTTTTTCCATGTGCACTCTGGGAGATGTGGGGTTCTAAATAGTGATTGCAGAATGAGTCTTTATTAATCTTAGTCCAGATGTTTTATTATATTAAGACTGGACTATCCCCAGGACTTCTGAGAAATGGCAAACTTCACTTGCCAAAATGGCAACCGCATACATTGCTCTGTTCCAGTTTTCTTGGGCTTGTTGCTCTAGTTTTTCCTATTGAAACCTTCACTGTTAGCAGAATTTTAAAATGACTCTTTATCCTGGCAACAGAAGAATGTGAGTAAACAACTTGGATAATGGTGGTGTCCTCATTTGGATGAGGTTAAGATTCAGGGTTTATGATGAGTTCAGAGTATTTTCTTAAGCCGCTTGTAGCGCTTTTAGAAACCAGGAAAATGCTTAGCTGGGCATTTGAACGCTGTTTCTCTGGCCCCTTACAAGAGGCAGGTATTTAACATGGAATCTGTGCTCTGGGGGCCTTTGGGAATGGGCTTGAGGGCCAAGATAAGCAGTTTTAAACCAGGTGGCTGGTTATTGTCCTTTCTTACAAGGAAGTCCCAGCAGGCAGTCTAGGGCAGTAGGTCACCTCTGTAGACATGAAGGGACTGGGCTCCTTCCAGTGTTTTGCTCCCCCATTCCAGGTTCTCCATCCTGTCCTCCCTCATCCTAGGCCTGGACCCAGCAGGAGCAGGGCATGGAAAAATACCAGAGCCACAGACCACTTCCCGAGGAGGCCTCCTGAGCCTTCTGTGCCTATGTCTTGTTGGCTTGAATTTAGCCCCATGGCCACAGCTTGTTTTAGGAGAAGCTGGGAAGGTGAGTGTGTCTGGTGTCATCTGCCCTAAGTAGGACTCTTTGCTGAGCAGCAAGGGAGAATAGATACAGGCACAGGCACCCAGTAATTCTGTTGTTTTTGTAGCCTCTGAAACTACAAAATTTTGCGTGCCTTTTGGAAAAGGGTCCAGAATGGTTTTTCATTTGTTTTCTTGAATTACTTGTCTTAATTCAAATTAAGTGCAGAGTTGAGATGAGCAGTATCATCTAACCGAGGCTACGGCCTTCGTTAAGAACTTGAGTTTATCCCTTTGCCTTGCCTCTTGATTTGGAAAAGAGAAGACTGAAGCTATGCCATGTGTAGCATTGATCTGTCCTTAGAGGACACAGGTTAGCAGGAGCACGCCAGGCCTGTGGGTTCATTGTGTCAACTGGGGAAGCTGCTGCAGGCTCCCAGTTCTAGGGCACTTCCTCAGGCCAAGTGCTGAAGATAACCCAGTACTGATGGATGTTGGATGGAGACATCCTGTGTCTTGCCCCTTACTCCATGTTTATTTGTCTGATCATTTTTAAAAAAGTATGTTTTTTATCTTTGAAAAGGTATTGAATGCATATAATAAAGAACATAAAGTTCTACAAAAAGTGAAGAGTGAAAAGTCATTTCTTTTTACCCTGTATGTCTTGGTCTCTCAACTCTCTTGTATATCTTAACCTGGAAGATTCTGTGTCTAGGTAGCTTCTTCCCTTTTCTTTCAGGCATGTTATACACTTCTGTTCTCAGAAGTTGTGTTGGGAGGTGCTCCCGAGGGGCCTGCCTCATCCTTCCAACAGGTGTCTGGCCTCCAATTGCTTAGCTGTGCCACACTTTACATTCATTCTTTTGCTGCCGAAAACACTGCCTTGTTACTCTGTTAGGGTTCTTTTTTTTTGCTCTTGTTGGGACTGGGGTTTGAACTCAGTTTTGTGTTTCCAAAGCAGGCACTCTTAACACTTGAGCCACACCTCCAGTCCAGGTGTTCTTTTTTGAATGTAGATCTTTGCACAAAGTATGAGTTTGTATGCTGGAGGATCTTACATGGTCAACACAGGGTCATGGCTGTGGCCACATAGCGTTTGGTAGCTGCCCTGTTGCTCTTCAGAGAGGCCCACAGTTGACAGGGCCACAGCCCAGGAGCCCCATTTCCTGAGCTCCTCCAGCAGTCACACTTTGTGGCTTCTGCGAGCTGATGGGGAAACAAGGGTGTTTTGTTCACATTTGTGTTTTTACCAATTACACAGGATGGACTATGTTTCCATATTTTGACTTTTCTTCTGCAAGTCTTCTCTCATAGATTTTTTTGAGTAGGCTTGCTGGTTGTTTCTCTATTGCTGTGGAAGAAAGGAATGAGCTGTTTTGCCTCTGTGCCCTGTGCCCTGCTACCCACCCCAGAGGAATCACACTGGCCAATGCCTCTTGCCTTCCACATCCCCGCCGTGCCCTTTCCTGTGGTGTGGCTGTATCCTCACTTCTTTGGTGATTGATTACATTTCTTAACCCTGTAGTTTAGTTTTGTCCCACTTTTTGTTGTTAACTTTTAAAGACTTTATTTCTACATATCCCTGTTTACCCATCCCCCCATACAGGTCTGTGTTAATTAGATGGGGTCATTGGTAGGGTTTTCCAGTCTGGAGTGCAGTCCAGCACGTTCTTCTGCCCTCTACAATTCCTGCAGGGGGTGGTGTGGACCCCAGCACCCTGTAAATGTGAGTAGTTATTTGAAAAAAAATCATTATGAACTCATGAATTTAAAGATATTTCTTTCAGCCGCATTGCAGTGTTGCCCTTGCTGATGGTCAGCTTTTTTCATTTTGGCCAGAGAAGCTTTTTCAGGATGGCTCCTGGTTCTTTGGGTGCTGCCCCTGCTCAGTGTCATAGTGTCCTCATGTGTGGTGTGACAAGCTGTTATAGGCTCACTTGTATTTCTTGCTCAGATTTGAAATCAGCCATTTCTTTAAGAAATCCTGGTTTTTTGTTGAGAAATGCTATTTTAGCCACACAGTCCGTGCTCCGAGATGCACACGGCTCCAGGGTTGATTGCTGTTTCTGGAACTTTAATGGCAGAGGCAGGGTGTCTAAACACATGCCCTCACACACCCACACACCCACGTTTACACCTTCACTTCAAGTCATGGCTTCCCATGACTTACTTGACCTCTCTCTGAGCACTGAGTTTGCATTTCCGTGTACTGAGGAACATCAGGAATGATAAAAGTGGAATTCCTATAAGTACTTATCTGTACGCAAGACCTTCTTGGAAGGGACTTTCAACACTATCATGTAGTATGATACTAAAAGTCTTTAAAATTTTCTTGAATGTCATCTCACAACTTCTCTGTTCATTCCAAGCAGTGTAGTTGCCTCAGTGTGCTCAGCACACACCATTGCAAGTGTACCATCTACTGTATAGGGTCTGTCCGCTCTCAGTTCTCCACCACCGGCCACTTCTTATATTATCTCTTAACTGATTTTGATTGTCTGAAGTTGTTTTCTAGCAGGTTCTGTAGGAAGTGTTTATGGGAATACTGTTCTGATATTGTATGTGGATCAAAGTGAGAGAGATTTTGTCTGGATATAAAATTCTTGGCTCATGTTTCTTTCCTTTGGTATCTTAAATATGTTAATCTGTTTTCTTCTGTTCCGGTTGAATAATTTAATTTTCTTTCCGTTGCAAGCCATCTAATCTTCAATGGATATAAAATGCATTTTTATTTTTTCTTCGAATAATATTTTTATTAGAATGTAACTTCTCCCTGCTTCTCCTAGGTTTGTGGTGTACACTTTAAATAAGTAGTTTCGATCCTGCTTCACTCCACCACACCTTTTGGAGAGTTTTCCCTCCCTATCTCCCTTCCTCTCTCTCTTTCTCTTTTTGTCCCCTCTCTTTCTTCTCTTTTTTCCTTTCTTTGTTCTTTCCACTTATCCCTGCTGAGCTGCACTTGCAGCCCTTGGCATTTTCTTGAATGACAGTTGTGTTTTTCACTTTTAGTGGCCTCCTATTATATGCATGTTAGATCTTCTTTGCCTGTCTTTGCTACTTTCTCTTTAACTTATTTCATCTTTTTCACTTCTTTGTATCCTTAAATGTTTTTTCACTTTCTCATTTTTGTTTTTGTTAAGAAACTGCCTGTTGTATTTGTTTGCTCTTGGGTCCCTTCTGATTTAGTCTTTCTGAAATTATTTAGATTTGTGTGTTGACAGACAAATGACATGGCTTCATTTTTATTTTGCAAAAATAAGATGTCTGGAGGCCTAATCAAAGTGTCATAGGACCTGGAAAAGTCACAGAAGTGTCTGTGTGGGCGAAGTTCTAGAGGTGGAATGGTGTGTCAGTTAGAGACCAGTGATGCCATGCGGCTATTACAGTGGCTTTCTGGGATGTGGTGATCACAGCAGGGGCTAAGAGTTCTTGGGTAGCAGGTAGTGAGTGACAGGATGCTTGCTGTAGGCAGCCAGGGCCGACTTTGGGCTTAGGGGTGAGGCTTTCAAGCCCATTTTAGGAAGGCAGTTTTGAAGGTGGCATGAGATCAAGAGGGAAAATAAGAGGCTGTCAGGTGGGGGCTGCTCCACCCATGAAGTTATGAGCAGTTTTGTTAACTCTCAGGGAACAATAACCTTTTGGTGGTCTGGGGAAAGAGAAACTCCGTATTAAAAAATCCACAGACACTTACATCCTCTTGCATACACAAGGTTAGTAGTTTTTGTAATTTCACATGTCACATTTATGCTGGTTAATTTTCCTCTCTTTCTGGGCTTCAGTTTTGTAGGTGACAGAAACCCAGTCTCCCTGTGAACTGGATTCTTGCTCGTTCGCGGGCCCCTCTTCTTGCATTCTGGATGATGTCAGAACAGGACCTCGCGGATGTGGTTCAGATAGCAGTGGAAGACCTGAGTCCTGACCACCCAGGTACAGAGCTGTGGGACAGTAGGTGAACTGTTACTATCTTCATTCCTTAAAACCCAAAGCTGCTGCACTTGTGTTCTTCCCTTTAAAGCAGACAGAAGCAGTGGCGATGCCTGCTCTGTTTGAAAACTCAGATCATTGACTGGTTTCTGTTCCTCACTCCTCCATCCTGGCCCCCGTCCCTGCCTCCCTGTGTGCCCATCACCTGCTTCATTGCCCTCTCCATGGGGAGATGCACACACTGTCCTGCATTTCTGCACCCTTCTAGTGTATAGCTTCCCCATTGTAAAACTTGCCATTGGAGTGGACTGTGGCAATCTAGTTATTTTTTCCCAACCTGGTGGCATTCTGGTTGTAGGTGTTCTGTGGTTGGTGAGCTCTTCCCTTGGGGTGGCTGTTGCCATGCTTTGCAGTTTCTCTTTTAGGGCTTTTTTTTTTTTTTTTTGAGACAGAGTTTCACTGTGTAGGTCAGGTTGACCTGGAATTCACTTTGTAGTCCAGGCTGGCCTCAAACTTGTGATCCTCCTCCCTCCACCTCTTGAGTATTGGGATTATAGGAGTGTGCCACCATGCCTGGCTTGGCAAATATTTTTGTAAAGTCAGTTCCCAGAACTGGAATTGCTGTATGTTTAACATTTTGATAAGACACTGACAGATTGCCAGAAAAAGTTTTCATTTTTCCATTGACCGCCCTTGGGGACTTTCCCCTCCCCTTCTGAGGCTGCTGATTTTCTTTATGATGTTAAAGGCATAAATGTAGTTTGAAACTTTCAATATCTATTTTAAGGGGGCCTTTTAGAAATAAACCTCTGAATTTTAGAACTTCATCTGTGAAAACTTTGCTTACGTTTATTATTTTAAAGATTCCTTTATAGGGCTCCTATTTTTTTGCCTGAACATTTCAAGTATTGTATAGTTCTGGTATGTTTGAAGTGACAAGTGCACAAAAGTCACTGAGCATTTGGGATGCCTGGTTATTCTGTTTTGAATGTTAGAATTCAAAACAGAGTTTTCATACTGTGTTTGTTATGTTAGTGAAAACATTACATTTAGAAGTTATGGTATGGAAAGGGGGAGTAACATAATTTCAGAATTAAAAGAGCAGCTACAAAGGAGTATGCAGGCAGTGCTTCAAGGCTTTCTTTCTTTTCTTTTCCTTTCTTTCTCTTTCTCTCTCTCTCTCTCTCTCTCTCTCTCTCTCTCCTCTCTCTCTCCCTCTCCCTCTCCCTCTCCCTCTCTCCCTCTCTCCCTCTCTCCCTCTCTCCCTCTCTTCTTCCTCTCTTCCTCTCTTCCTCTCTCCCTCCTTCCCCCCTCCTCTCCTCCCCCCTCTTACTTTCTTGTGCTGGGGGTACATTGTGACATTTACAAAAGTTCTTACAATATATCAAATATACATAGTTGAATTCATCCCTCTATCATTCTCCTTTATCTCTCTCCTCCCTTCCTGGAACAGTTTCACTAGGTCTCATTTTTCCATTTACATACGTGTGTACACAGTGTTTACACCATGTTCACAGGAAGTCTCAGCTTTTGTCAGTTTTCACCTTACCTTGCTTCTGATTTTATAAGAAGCTCTGTCACCTCACATAACAGTTTAAGAAAGAATGTGTTGAAATTTTAGCAGGCGAATGGCAGTTACTTCAGAGAACACACTGCAGTGTTATAAAAGAAAAATGTTACATAAATTTTAAGCCATTTAGAACATTAAGATTCAGGCAGCCCACTTCCCAGATAAATTTTCCTTGTGTGATCTTAATTTTGTCTGGTCTCTGTTCCCTAAGTGATGAGAACCGCAGTTTCTGGGCTGTTGAAACCTTCTTGTGTGCAGAACCCTCTGAGATCTACCAAGATATAAAGCCGCCATCTCTGACTCCTTGGAATGCCATACACTCACACGCAGTGCAGCACACACATTTGCATCCACAGTGGGCTTGAGGTTACGCTTTTCCCTTATCTCTGAAATAGGAACCTGTGAAACTGCAAAATGTGGTCACACTCTATGGACAGTTCAGTGTGGTTCCAGTTGATGAAGTGGTTGGGGCTGGGGGCCTGCTTTGCACTGTCACTCTGGGACTTTGCAGTGAGATGTTCTTGTCCTCAGCCCCTCTTCCAAGGGCTTCCTGGTTCCAGGATCCAGCTGTGGGGAGTGGAAAGAACATGGATGGGTTCCTGTACATGGATGGGTTCCTGTGGAGGAATTTAGAGTCCGAGCTTGAAAGCAGTCACATCATTTCATTCCTCTTATTTGGTTTCATGGATGCCCCGATTCCATCGGAGGCTAGGAAGTGCAGTCTGGGTGCTCAGGCAAAGGAAGTGGTTCTCTACATAGCTTTCCTAGTCATTTCTGGTGTGTGTTTGGTATTTTGTCTTTCTGGTAGGTTGTAAATGCAGATGCTTCATGTTACTTTCTAACAGCCCACAGTGTGTAGAGAAATTGGACTGATTGGGCACCAGTTACATGTGTGTTTGTTTTCTATTGCTGTGTAACAAATACCAAAAAGTGTTAAAAAAAAAAAAAAGTACAGTCAAGAAAGAATGATCCTAGCAACATGGCTGCTGTTAGTTGTTAGAGTGTGTGTCCTACTAGTCTTCTTTTATTTGCATGTAAAACAAAGATTCTTACGTTCCTATGATTTTGCATGCAGCTGCCACGTGTGGTACTTGCTTTACCTGTGTGAATGTAGTAAGATGTCACTGTCCTCAGGCCTATCATTCCAGTTTATTGTGATGGCTCTAAAATGAACAACAACAACAAAGTTTGCTTACTTCTTAAAGTAATACACACAAAATTATAAAAAGCAAAGTACAAAGAGGAAAATAAACATCCCTTACTGTGTAGTTACCTGCAGAAAGTTATGCTGGAGCCTGGTACACATACCTCTGACTCTTCTGCAAGCACAGTTCCTGTGACATACCATCCTCACTGCCCTTTGCTTATAGTCTTGAGGTACTTCGTGTTGCCAAGGGACATGCTTTATGAAGAAAGAAGCTATGTGACCTGTGTCAAGTCACTGAGCCTCTCTGGACTGGTTTTCTATTCAGCAAATTAAAAGACCCTGATCCCCCCCCCCCAGTCCCAAGGCAGTTATGTTTCCAAGAGAGAGTAAAGAGGCTTCTACTGAAGTGAGCAGCCACAGACACTGCAGGTGCGGGTTCCCTTTTCAGTGTTCATCCTGCATTTGCCCACAGGGTTAGGCACACTGGTGGCAGTGTCCCCTGCTGCCTAGTGTTTGTGCCATGGCAGAATACAGCCAGCAGTGTGCTTCCTTGAGGGCTGCTCCTTGGCCTCAGCTGTTTCCCTCTCCTTGTTAGACCTTACTGCTCTGGTCTAGACCTGCACGGGCATCCTTGCTCAAGTGCTAATCCTTCAGTTTAGAATTTGAGGTGAACATCTGGTGTGCCTAGGCTCAAAGATACTGCATGCCTTTCTTCCCCTGTTGAGATTTAACTTGGAATGTTCCTCATGTTCAAATGCAGCTGCTCTGACTGAGGTGGGGCAGGGCCAAGAGACCATGTACTTGGCCTTCCTGGAGTGCTAGGATGTGCCTAGCCCATGTGTGGGCAGCCATGTGTGGAAGGAGCTTTCTGTTCTGGGTAGCGCTGTGACTGTTGGGAGAAAGACTTCCTAAACATTATGGGCTCTGAGTGAGGCTAGATGGGAAGGTTATGTCCTCAGTGGAGATAGTTGGTGACAGGGAAGAGCTAGGTCATGGCCAGTCTGCACTGTTGGAGCCAGGGCACAGTTGGGTCACCTGCCTGACTGTGCATTTGACAGTGTGGGGTTGCTGAGATACGTGTGTGCCATAGGTTGTGCCCTGTTCATGAATGTTCAACATTCAGATTGATGGTCTTGTCCTGCCCAAAATACCACAGTAAACATGCTCATGTGTGTGTATACAACATACATGATGCACTTGTTGCTTAGTGTATTATGTTCTTTGTGTTCTAACATAACAACACTCATTTCTGTTAAAGGGGAGTTGAAGCCGTTTTCCTGGGGGCTGTCCATGTATGGCTAGGGGAAGGAGCAAAAGTACATACAGATCCATGGGTTGGATCTGTGGGTGTCTCTCCCCCTTCTTCATGACATATTATATGTGAGCATGCAGAAAGAAGTGAGGACTACACCAGGTAGCACCTGACATTTCAGGCAAAGAGATGAAAAGGAAAACAAACACTGTAGAGAAACGGAAAAACACAGGACAAAAATTTCAATGAAAGTGTTGACTATAAAATTCTATGTGTAATTCCAAACATGTAGGTTTGTAAAGAGTGACGAGGTAAAGGACTAGAAGTGTCACACAGATAGAAATGTGATTTGCAGAGATGAGAGGGTGATGTTGGTCTTTGACTCTGCTTATTTTTTGATATTGACTTTGTAGTCAATTTCCTATGAGACAAGGAAGTTGGGATGGTACTGTGGCAGGCCTGGGGTTCAGGTCACATTGCTTATTTGGAGGCAGGCTGTCCTGTGTAGGGGCCGGCTTCTGCACAACTCAGCATGTTGAGCTGAGCCAGTTTCATTGCTCCACACCTGAGCAAGTGTGACATGCAGAGAGTGCCTCCTCCGCTTTGTGGTGGGGGTGATCAGGGCCTCACACTAGGCAAGCACTAAACCACTGAACTGCATCCTGAGCCCCAGACAGTACACTCAATCTTGCAGTGAGGTAGCCAGCAGAAGCACCATGATTCAAACTTGGGAAGAAGTCATTGCTGAAAGGTTTGGCACGCTCAAGTTCAGATGGGCTTCAGAGCATTGAACAGGAAGGCTGAGTTCTGGTGTCGTGAGACCTCAGCGCTGCATTAGGAAAACAATTTGCCTGGTCAGTCTCAGTTTTCCTTGGAATGAGGGAGCACTCCTGTTTTGGCTTGGCTGAGAATTTCAAGTTTAAACTTAACAATAAGAAACAGATTGTGCCATTTCTCAACCACCTTATAGCATCGGCACTGTTCACTGTCTTAGATGTAAAAGAATTCTGAGAAGCTTTTCATGTTAAACTCTAATTTCTGCCTCTGCCATTGATTTTCAGTTGTTTTGGAGAATCATGTAGTGACAGATGAAGATGAACCTGCTTTGAAGCGCCAGCGACTAGAAATCAATTGTCAGGACCCCTCTATAAAGGTAACGCTATGAACCACTTGCTCTCTCACAGCTCTGGAGGCCACACGTCCAAAGTCCAGGTGTGGCAGTGCTGCATGCCCTCTGGAGGCTCCGAGGGGCTCCAGGGGGAAGATCCTTCCTGCCTCTTCCAGTCCCTGGTAGCTCCAGGGGGTCTTTGTCACACCACTGCAATATGTGTCTAGGGCCTTCCCGAGGTAGGCCAGGGTGACTTCACTTACATAATTCATCTGCAGAGACCCTTTCTCCAGATGAGGCCATGTTTACAGGTTCTGGGGTTAGGTGGAGAGAGCACTTCCGGGGGTCTTTCAACCTACTGCTTGAGAGCACAGGCCATCCTTCCGCTTGCAGAGTATGAGAAATAAACATTGTCAGGTTTCAGTGCTGGCAAATGGGCATCTTCCTGTGGATGACCTTGGATAGGAGGAAGGTGAATCATGTCTGTGCCTGACACCCCTCGAATCCTCAAGTTTGCCAGCTGGGATTCTCAGACCCACTCATTCAGCCAGCGAGGTAGTTTTTCTTCTTGTGTTTGTTTGGTTTCGGTGTCTGCAGTCAGAGGTAAACATCAACACGGGACAAGTGTACAAGAGCAAGCCACTTCCTATGTGACTGTTTACATAGTACATTTGGGTAGAGGTGGCCAGGTCATTTTGTTAGCCAGGAGAAGCAGTGTCAGCTTAAATGGGTGGTTTAAAAAAATATTCATCAGAGGGGGTGAATTCAACTATGACAAATTGTAAGAAATTTTATATGTATCCCCAGTACAATAATAATAAAAATATACATTCACCATGATCAAAATATGTTACATACATGTATAAAAATGCCATTGTTTTTGTACAATTAATATACTCTAGTAAAAAATTTAAAAATATAGTCAGTAAAATTTTGATTTCAGACTAGTGGATAGAAGGCTATTGCATTAGTGACACCCAGTATCATATTTCAAAATGCAGTCACACTTTAACTCAAGACATTGCTGTGAACAACAAGAAAATGGATCAAGTGAAAAGGAAAGCAGCCACACCTCTGGGGACAGTGAACACTGCACACACCTGTAGTCACATGCAGTCACACAGTCACGTGCTGTTGAAAAACATTCATGTGCCACATTGCCAAAACTCTTTAATGAGTAGGTCTGAGCCATTTGTGGCCACTGAAAATTGTGTGTACTCCCTATTCTTTCTTCATCGTTAGTTTGATAAATTGTTTTATTAGTCTATAACAGTGATTTTCACCCACACCCTAGGCAGATTCATCCCTGACTCAGCACTATAATAATATGGTTTTCCCATGTTGAAAGAATCTAGGAGGCACATGTCTGATGTTTTTAATTATAAAAAATCCTGGAGTCATCCGTGGTCTGATCGCAAGGTGACCTCAAGGTGACATCGTCCACCGGCACCATCGGTGCTGCCTCTTCAGATCAGGATGACTAAGGGGCCTGTGGCACCTGAGACAGCCCCTGTAGCTTCCTTCCTTTACACAGTGCTTCAGCACCATGTTGATGGAGGGCAGTCTGTAAGGGGGCGAGTTTTGCTTCTTTTGCTTTTTCCTTGTACATTTGTGCTCCTGTGATGAGATGGTGCTCGGGTAGTGTGTGAGTTCTCTGTGCAGGGCTGCTCACCAGGACATGAGGCAAACGCATTACTTTAGAAGCTAAGCTCAGCCTGTTTAAAATGCTCACCGTACCAGCATTTTCTTCTCCGGGTTTCTAAGGTGTGATGTATGCTGTGGTTTTAACTTTAGTACTTTGTGATTCCCTTGAATGAACTCCTGCTGACCAGTAGGTGGCACACTTGCTATTCGGAAGTTCAGTGAAGGGCATTCCTAGATTTCAAATGGGCGTCTTTCTAGGGCAGCATGGTGTGAAATAGCGAGGCCTATCATTTTTAGGTTTTTTGGGTGCTATACGTAGTCTGTTTTCACCGTTAGAAGTATTTGGTAGCTTTATGTGTAAATTTAATGATTAACATGATAGCATATTAAAGACGTGGAGCTTTTAGCATATGGCTAACATAACTGAGACTTGCAGATGCACGTGGAGGGAGCCTGAGGAAGGAGTCGCATTTCGGGTTCTAACACTCCAGTGCTTCTGGTTACACAGACAAGTGGACACCAGGTAGGGTTTGTTCTGCTGGAGCAGAGTTATTGAAGCTAGGGAACAGCTTTCGCCATCCTTGGAATTATCTCCTTACAGTTGAAGACACTTTCTGACACTTTCTTCTTCTTTACTTCCAGTCTTTCCTGTATTCCATTAACCAGACAATATGCTTACGGCTGGATAGCATTGAGGCCAAGCTGCAAGCTCTCGAGGCTACTTGTAAATCGTTGGAAGAGAAGCTGGACCTGGTCACCAACAAACAGCACAGCCCCATCCAGGTTCCCATGGTGGCAGGCTCTCCGCTTGGTGCCACCCAGACCTGCAACAAAGTGCGATGGTAAGGACAGAGGAGCCATGGTGCCTAAGGCCGTGTGCTGGCCCAGGCTCCTGCTGTTACTGGATCTGCAGTAGACACCGGTATCTGCCCCTGTGGTTCTGTGGCGCTGATTACAGTTAGACCGAAACTAAACACAGGCTCCCTGCTGGAAGCACTTGAGTTGTTCCCACTTTCCGATTGACACAAGCCAGACTGATGCATCTTTCCTGTGCACCTGACCACACCAAATCTTGGCAGATACACATTTCTTCTTTTCTTTCTCCACCTCTGTCTGGCTGGTCTTCAGACATGTTTTCTTCAAAAGTGTGTTTATAAATTTCACTTGAGTATATCTAGACTTTCCATTCAAGTCTGTAGCTTTTATCATACCTATTTAAAAAAATGTTTGGAGCCTCATCTTCAATGTAAAGTGTTTTATGTACTGTTTGAGTTGAAGCTTTCTGAACAGTTAGATTGGAATAGTGAATGCCTCAGATGTCTTCTACCTCCACATGGATCCTATAGGCCAAGGCACCATGTCATGAGGTGTGCTTAGGCTCAGACTTGGGGGCAGCGACCATGAGTTCTGTTGGTGTTCTTATCTCTCCTACACTGGTCGGGAAGTCATTTTTGTGGCAGTGACCAAAATATGTCTTTTCATTTGAGCATTTGAAGCCTTTCTACAGAGGCTGTCCTCTTGAGTTCCCTTGAAGGCCTGCAGCCACCTGCCTGGTGTGTCTAGGAGGAGCAGGATAGTGGGGTAGAGGAGGGCACCACAGGGCACAGTAGCCTGGAGGTTCTGCAGGTCTTACTGCCAGCATTTGTGGAGACTACTGTGTGCTACTGCCCATGTGTGCTGGTGACCAGAGCAGTGCTGGGTGTTTTGTAGACTTTAAGGAGAATGTTGGAAAGGAGAGGAGGGGTACCTTTGCTGGTTAGTTTTGGGATGCTTATGGATGCCAAGGTGATCACCTGTCCTGCTTTATCTAGGACAGCTCCTGGTGTTGCCTGCTGTGCTGGCATAATTCACAAAGCCTCCCTTACTGCTCACAAGTTCCCTGGTGTGTTGGCAATACTACCTGTCTCTACTCTTTCGTCAGCTGGTAGTGGAGGAATCTGGGTATCTCAGTTCCTATTGGGGATCATTCTTGTGCCCTGTATCTGCTGGGCCATATAGCTCACTTGCTTGTTTTCCCCACAGACACACGTCAGCATGCTGTGTGTGCAGGCTCTCTGTTAGGCTCCCAAACTTACCAACCTTCTTATTTATTTATTTATTTATTTATTTTTTTGGGTAGTACTGGGGTTTGAACTCAGGGCCTCTCATGTTTGCTAGGCAGGCACTCTACCACTTGAGCCGGCTCTGCCAGCCCTTTTTTGTGATAGATTTATTTTCAAAAGATAGGGTCTCATGAACTGTTTGCCTGGGACTGGCTTTGAACTGCAATTCTCCTGATCGCTGCCTCCCAAGTAGCTAGGATTCTAGGTGTGAGCCACTGGTGCCTGGATCTTACTGCCTTGTTTTTTTTTTTTTTTTTTTTTTGGACAATTAAATAAAAAAATACTGCCATCTTCAAATGCAGTATATAGGCAATGTAACCTGTGATTTAAAGTGGATAGAAGGACCTGACTGTGATGTAAAGAAGTGAGAGGACAGCAGTGTATAATGCAGTGACAGTGCCAATGTGCACATGGTGACCTGCACAGATGCTCCAGGTGTGGCACTTGGACTGTGGGATGCCTCAGAATGGTGAGCAGCTCTGTGTGCAGTTTCAAATGAAGTGAAGCATGTACAATTTTTCTGAGGCATATTCAATAGATGAATCCCTGGAGAGCTCAAGTTTCATTCAGAATGCAAGAGTGTTTTGTGGACAGAGGTCACGTGGAATGGAGTTAGAAGCATACATTTTGCTTCTGTGAGTGCTTGGGACTTTGGACATTTGTGCAGAAAGACTTTGTGTTAGGTGTGGCTGTCTCATGTTTGGAAGGTGGCCCTGAGCTCCTTGGCCTGCACTCAGCAGACTTCAACCACAACAGCCACCTCTGTCCCACTTGATTCACAGCTCCCTAGCACCATCCCTCTAAGGACTGAAACAAAAGGATGGTGACACCCTTCCTTCAGGAGAACCTCCCCTGTTCTGAGGATGACTACCTCAGTCCTCTGTCACTTCTTCATGAGCTGGGAAGCATTGAGAACACCGCTCATCACCGCTGATCCTTGTGCTGGTTTTGTGTCCAATGAGGGAGCTGACTGTGGCAAGGAGCTGTTAGTGGAAGACCGTGAGGGCCATTGTGGTGCAACCTTGAGGGTGTCTGGTTTTGGAATTTTATCTTATGGGGAGAGCAGGCCTCTGGATCACGGTCACCCTGACTAGACACTTGGCCAAGTCTTACAGTTATTTCTAGATGACACACAAGAAGATGATGAATTGGATGTGCCCTGCACTCACTAGAGAGCCACTAACAGAAAACTTCAGGGAGAAGCAGAGGTTCAGGTCTTAACTCCAGGATTGAAATGAAAACAGTTTGCTAAAAGGAGAAAATCAATAATTTGTGAATGCCATTGTACATCCTAAAGGTGGGCAGTGGAGCATAGAAAAATCTCCAAAACAGCTGACTGTTGGTTAGCATCCTGAGTGATAGGGAACTTCTGTTCCCTATCTGGGCCTCAGATACTTAAAATAAGAGAAGTATGTATATCAGAGATTCTCTTACATCCAAATCATATGCTTGTAAGAATAACTTCAGGGCTGGGGTGCAGCACAAGTGGCAGAGTACCCGCTTAGCAAGTTTGATGTCCTGAGTTCAAACCCCAGTACTGTCCACTATCCCCAACCAAAACCAACAGACAAAAACAAACAACCAACCAAGAAAGAAGACTTAAAACACAGCATGGTGGTACACACCTGTAATCCCAGCTACTCAGGAGGTGGAGATCAGGAATGTCACAGTTCAAGGCCAGCCCAGGCAAAAAACTAGAGAGACTACCTCTGCCCTATCTCAATCAACAAGCCAGGTGTGGCGGTATACACTTGCAATCCCAGATACATAGAGGAAGGCATAGGTAGGAGGATTGAGGGTTGAGGCCTGGTCCTGGCAAAAACAGGAGACCCTATCTGAAAAATAACTAAAACAGAAAAGATCTGGGGGTAAGGCTCAAGTGGTAGAGTGTCTGCCTAGCAAGCACAAGGCCCTGAGTACAAACACCAGTACTGCCAAACCCCAAACAAAAACAAAACACTTCAATTGGCTGGGCCCACCTGTTGCTAGTTGAGAATGGTGTGCTGGGAGTTGTAGTTTTGTGGGCTGAAAGTAGCTGATGCTGGTCTTTGAGTTGTAAGGGAGCTTCTTGGGCTCACAAGAAGCTGTCTCTTGAGCCACCTGCCTTCTGTTTGGAGAGGCCACACTCAGCCCAGACCTCACTGCAGGAGGACATACTGCAGCCTCTCTGCTTTCTGAGATCCATTCCACCTGTGGTCGTTTTTAATTAACTGGCCAGGACTCTTGTCAGCACTGCGTTAGTCATGTATTCTTTTTGCTCTTTGGAACACAGAAGGCAGTGGATTACTGCCAACCTCAGCTGGCATTTGGATCTAGATTTTCAGATTCTACATCTGAATGAGATTCTTTAAATAAATTCAAGAAAAACAGAAAGAAAAGAAGACCTGTTTTCTTTGAAGCTAAAGCTCAATCTTTGTAATAAAAATGTTTGTGATACTTCTTGGATAGGTTTCATCCAACAACAGTGTGTTCCACTTGAGGACAAGGAAAATGGACTTTAATTCTACTGGGTAGGAACCTTTTTTTCCCTGCACATGTGCCATGAATTTGAAACTTGCATAATTGTAATTCTAGGGGTAGTGGCATGAGGTTTTAGCTTTGAAGATGCTTAAAGAGGGACTGGGAGCCATGGATGCTGAAGCATTCTGTGTTCAGTTGTAAAAGCCTGTGGTTTAGTAGGCCCGGCTTCTAAATACCGGCTGTGAAAGTTCCCTAAGGGCCAGTGTTTTAGTTCCTGTCCGGAAGGCATCAAGTGAGTGTACAGCTACAATTATGCAGATGGTGTGTGGTCATCTTCCTGTATGGCTTTGAAGCTGGACACAGGCAGTTGAAGACAGTGTCTTGAGTGCTGCGTGGCTGAACATGGTGCATTGGGGCCACACAGAACTCACAGACCAGTGACTGTGAGATCAGAGACTGATAGCTACTGCAACAGCTTGTAACCCAGCAACTCAAACACAGGTTTCTGGTCTTTTGATGGGAGTGTGGTGTGAACTCAGGGCTTCCTGCTTGCAAAGCACACACTCTACCATTTGAGCCATACCTCCACCTGTTTGTTACTAACGGATGTATACTAACTAGAAAAACATTTCTTATTTTTAAAAGCAATAGGTTTTTGTTTTTAAAGGTTTTTTGGTTTTAAAAGATTAAAAATTTAAAAGGCTTAAGCATGTTTCTATAATTTAAAAATAGTTCTAAAGAGAGGCTTTTGTGTGCTAATGCCTCTCAGAATTAAAGGAGACCATAATTTAAAGTTTTTCGGAGATAAGTGTCATGTGAAACTTCGGAAGAATTCTTTCTCTTCCCCTGGTCAAGAATGGTTTGAATTCCCTCCAACATGCGGGTTGCTGATTCTTTATTTTAGTTCTAGAGGCTCTTTTGTTTTAATGTTGGCTCATATTTGCAGAAAAGCTGCTCTGGATTTTGTAGCCCGCCTGGCTTCCTGTAGAGCTGGGCCTCCTGCCAAGCACCTCTGTTCTAGATTTGAGAGCTGGAGGTCTTGGCTAGGGGCATCCTGTGTCCAGTTTGGGGCTGTTGCCACTTTGGGGTCATGGAGGCTCTGAATCAAAAGCCTGGCATTTCATAGGCTTCAGAATGTGTCACGCTCAGTACAGTGCTGTAGGAATTGTGGAGAAATGGTTTGATCTGGGCCATGACAGGTTTAATTTTGAGTTTTTGATGCTTCCATTTAATTTTATGGTTTCTCTTCCTTGACTTTGTTTGTATGAAAGTTCCAGTTG